CCCCCCCCCCCCCCCCCCCCCATTTTAAACGCACTATATAACAACATGTATCAACACCTTATTTGAGTGGGAGGAGTGGGGACTTCCTGTTAATTTTATATATATATATATACTTTTTTTAATTAATTAATTTATTTTCCCCTTAAACCCTCGTCCTTCCTTTGACATTTGGGGTCGGGGCGAGGGGGTTAGGTTGCCTGGTTGGGGTCTGGGCTGTGGGTGGACATTGGGCCTTGGGGAGCAATTGGGGGTGGGGCCGGTGCTCCGGTTTTCCCTGGGTTGTTTGGATCTTTTGATCAGGGTTCCTGGTTGCAGTGGCCGGCCCTTCGGCTGGAGTGGCTGCCGGGTTCCGGCGGAGGGTCGGCTGTGGTTGTGTGTGTGTGGCCGTTGGTGGTGTATGGTGGCAGTCAGGGGTGTGGCTTCGCTTTGACGGGATGCTGGCTGGTCGACCTGATGTGACATTCGCAGTGGGGGGTGCTGTGTGTAGGTGTGTGTGGGGGGGTGCATAGGTGGGACTTCTTCGGGCCTGTGGTGTGGAGCTCTTGGGGTACCTGATCCTTGGTGCGCTGGGCCGACATTCCTCAGCTGCTGCTCCCTGCTGCTCTGGCCCCCGGCCTGGGGCCGGCTTGCGGTCACTGTCGGGTGGGTGGGTCGCATGGACGGCCCGACAGAGGCTCTGTCGGGCTGTCTCTGTGTGCCTGTTTATGTCTCAGGTTGGTTTTTAGGTGGTCCCCTCTCTTGGATCAATTTGGGCCCCCCATTTAATGTGGGGTCTAATTCCCCCTGTTGCACTCCCCTCCGGTGGTGGGCCCCCCGTTGCCGGTGCATTGGCGGCTCTCAGCATCTGGGGCTGGGTGGTGGGGCCTGGGTGCCCTGGCTCTGTCGGGCCTCTGTTGGGGGGTGGTATGACCTCGGGACTTGGGGCTTGGTGTCCATGGCCGAATCTACTCTGGAGGGGCGGGTTGCCGACGGGGCCTGTGGACTCATCGCTGCAGCCTCCTGGGGGTTTCTGCATTGTGGTTGCTGGGAATCGCCCGGGGCTTCCCTTTGCTTCTCTCTCTGGGAGGTGCGGGTGTCCCTGTTGGGGGACTACCGGGGCTCCGGGCTTGGGGGCCGCTGTGTGTCTGTGGCTCCATGCTCACACAGTTGTTTAGATCCAGGTGTTTATCAGATACACACCCAGTTGGGTTGTGGTGGCCATCAAATATATATATTGTATTACCATGTACTGTACAAAATACTTTCTAATGATGTTATAAGTATCATTATATAAGTTGTTTGTTGTTGTGGTTTCTCGGTTTTGTCGTTTTATTTTTTTTCTTTCCGTAGGTCTAGAGTCAGACTTCAATGATGTTGACTTGTGTTCTCTTTATCCCTCTCTCTCTCCTCTGTTCCTATCTCCTTCTTTACATTTTAACTCTTCTCTCACTTTTCTGCTTTTTTTTCTTCTTTGTTTTTCATCCCCGTGTCCGTTACATCTGAAACAAGCCCAAAGCAAATTCTAATAAAGTTTAATTTATATATCAAGTGGAGCATTAAGACCAGCCATGATGCTCTGCTTGTGAAAGTAAATCTGTTGGACATCACTTTGACACTCAGACAATAATTCTAAGTGTCACATGTCGAACAGGACAAGAGAAAAAAATAAAATAAAAAATAAATTGTCACTAGGTGTGAGTGAGAGAGCGAATGGTTGTTTGTCTCTGTGTCCCTGTGATGGACTTGAGACCTGTCCAGGTTAAGGTGACTGGATTTCTGACATTAAATCTGGGAACATTTCCAGATCAGAGACAAAAAAAAAAAAAGAATAAAATGTTATCAAGATGAAATTAAAAACAGGGACAGTTTCGATTTCACTTATTTTTGTCAAAGTTTTCTCAGGCAGGACAGGAATGAACCCATGGTGCAGGTAGGACTCGGGAGGCAGGACGTAGAAAACAATACTTTAATAATAAGAAAAAGAAGCTGACGTGGCTGCAAACTTACACGACTAGGAGCGGACTTGGAGCAGGACAGGACAAGGACTGTACCCAACGAGACGAACTGACAAATGACAGGACTAACAGGACTTGTATACACAAACAGGACATGAGACAAGGGTGATCTTAAACAGACAATTAAAGCAGAACACTAGGGAGGACAGACAGGGAAGGCCCACTAGATCGCACAATCCTTACAGTATCCCTAACCTCTGCACCACCACGTCCCACGGTAAAGTGAAATACTTCAAAACACGAGGAATAAGACACAATTTAGTAATATGCTACCAATTAGAAGACCTTAGAATCTACTTGTTTTTTGGTTCTTTTTTTTTTTTTAGTCATCCTATTTGTTAAAAAAAAAATTGTATGACTTTTTATAACTGTTTATTGTTGCCCAAGTTCATAGAATAGAAGAAATGCACATTTATAATTATCTCTCCTCATCATTTTCAGCTCAGTTCTTGCCTCATTCAGTTTCCATCACTGTGGAAAAAAGGGTTGTAAGTTCAATCATCCAGGTAGATGACAAGGAAAAGGTTAACTCGTCATCAGGACCACTTCCTTTAAGTGAGATCGTCCAGATGACGTGATTTAACCTTTTTTTGTCACTGAAGAAACCATACGGCGGCTGTGGCTCAGTGGTTAGAGCAGTCGTCCTCCAATGCAAGAGTTGGGGGTTCGAATCCACCAGCAGTCACATGCCGAAGTGTCCCTGGGCAAGACACTGAACCCCTCATAGCCTCTGATGTGTGTCCATCAGTGTATGAATGTGATCTAAAGCTCTGATTAGTCTCTTTAGAATGATTTGTTCAATTATCTTTGTAGAGATCTAGTATAGAGCTGTATGAATGGGTCAATGAGACACAGATTGTTGTAAAGAGCTTTGAGTATCTTGAAATAAGATAGAAAGGAGCTGTATAAATACAGTCCATTTACCATTTACTTAAAACCTGTCCA